TAGCGGACCACTGTAATTACAATTCTGATTGCTGTTTGAAATTTATAAGTGTTAGATATAATTCAAATGAATTTCTCAGTTGTTAATGATTGATAGAAAGACTGATACAATCGTAAATAATTAATTAGAAATGTTCGGTTTAGAATAAGCACAGTATCTTTTATTTATACATTATGTTTTAGTATTAATTTTTGTGACTACTTTTTCGTATAGTTAACAAATTCTTAAACTGCACATTTACTATTTAAATCGGTATACATAGTACATGTATACATGTATACATAGTTAGATTTAAAGAGTTCTTGACAACATTTTAAAATATATTCTTTTAAGATTCTTAACACTTTTAACACACACTTTAAAAAACTCTTGACAAGATTTTTGATAATATTTGTTTAACGTTAAAATACATGGCGAACGTAGGTACGTACACTGCAATACATACCTTGCACAAGTTGCACAACGCGTCTTACGCAATTACCCCAAATTTTATGTACTTTCTTGAGTTTGACCTACTGCGATTGCAATGTATTTACATTGTATGTATATGTATGGTGAAACGTATATTTATATTCTCGCGACGAAGTTGATTTGCTTCTTACGTGCGTTGCACACTGAAACATAAAGGTTCATTTAGTTACACACGTTCATTTATTATCATCCATATCTTCAAAACAATGAAACAGGAAGCTATAGTGATAAAATGTTTATGCAGACTCAAACACAGTTTCAGTCTTAACAATTTTTTGTAAACTTTAAGGCTGAAATGATAGCTGCTACAGTTACACAGAAAATTTATTAATTAATTAACAAAATTTATTGTTAACAAAATATTGCCATCATCGATGAAAGAAATATAATTATTCTACAATATATTATATTATATGAGCGAGAGACATATTATAAGACACGTTTAAAACACATAATATCATATTATCACAGTATCAATATTGCATTGGTTATTTCAGAAATGTATCGTAAACTATAAGTGGGGTTATTAAGCGACCACAAAAATTAAATAAAATTAGAGCAAATTATTTAATGGAATAAAAACTGAGAAGCTAAGAAGGCAAACAGATCTATGTCATTTTTATTTTCAAATAACAACATTGAAAATAACGATCCGAAATTAATGGTTTCAAATAGTTATTTCTTATTTTCATTTGAAATAACATTTGCCCAAATCTTGTTGAAACAAAATGAACATTTCTTTAAATCGACGCTTCCGCTGATTGTAAGTTTTTTACGTTTGCGGGAAGATCGGAGTTCGTTGGAGGTAAGTTTAGAATTGCGAAAACCGGGAGCCGGTCGGTAGGCCGAGCCATTCCACCTTTCCTTACGTTCACCGATATTCCAAGTAGAAAGTTGTCACTTCGTATGAAGTAAGTTTCCTCAGCTAGCCAGCCAGCCAGCAGACGGAAACGTTGGTATCGTTTGTGCTCACCAGAACCTGATGCAACGAACGTTTCTTGTACGATATTGGTTTCCTGCTGACCGATCACAAGTTGGATTCCTGAAAGTTCCCAACTACCTGTAACTTCCTCCCTATTGCCATTTACTAAATACGTATTTCGTGCTGCTTCCGTATTTACTGTTCCCGCGACTAATAATGCAGCCGGGTAGCTAGCAGGAAATCGTTTCTTCAATGCAAGATTAGCCTCTTTTAGACGAAATGGAGATAACGAATAAGAAAGACAAGCAAATACTTCTTATGAAACGTCGTATAAAACTACTTCAAAATCTTCTGTTTTACTGAATTGAATAACTATGTCTCAACAATAAATACACTGTTCCTTAGCAATGAGTAGGTTTCGCATAAAGACAGTTCAGCTAGTAACGGATGCGTTTGAAATAGCATCTATGTTGCTTTATTTTTACTTCATTTTTAGAAATATCTGTATATTATGCTATACCGTTGATTTGCAATTATACGTAATCCACAACAATATTTCACTCTGAAAATTAATAAATAACGTATGATCGTAGTTAAACTGTAGAATTGAAGAAATGTGAAAGTCTGCAGTCTGGTTATAATTCACGGCATCATTTTCTGAATAGAAATTGCACCGGATGTATACATATAAGGATTCAAATTACTTTTAAAACTTGCACGTGCCATAAACGCGTAAAAATCCACAGTCTAATATAATTAAGAAACCACTAAAACTTATAACACAGGGAGTAGAAGTTTTTAACAAGTTGTGAGTATCTTTTCCGCAATGATTCACTAAACTAATAATATTCGACTCAATTTGTCTCTGACAAATTTTGATCGAGGATCTCCCAGATCGAGGGGACCGTGGACCGTTTGCACTGAACAGTCATGTTAATTAGAGCATGCCGCAGCATTGCAGCGGCGTATCGCCTTGGATGGCATCGTTATTGTTATTATCATTGCCGGTTAAATGTAATTAAAGGACTGGCAATAGCTGCGGCTCGGAAAGGTAATTGAATCGTATCTGTCGGAGAATCACTTCCTAGTGTACACCGGAGAAAACGTCGATAAAGCCGAGGAAACGACCGAAAAGTGTTCTCTCGGAGGCTTCGAATGCTGGATAAATATCGCCATGGCATGGCATTCATCTGTTGATGCAACTCGTCTTCCTGGTCGCGACATCGGGTCGCGAGTGAAAGTGAACTCTCTTCTATGTTATCGCGCTATAACCTCGTCGAAACGATGGCAATCGAATGTTGGCAACAACGACGCAAAGCATCGGATCGCTCGATTAACCGCTATGATTTTAAACGCTACACTGGACTTTTCCATCGTTCGAGATTTAATCTCCTTTGCATTTGAAATTTTAATTTTTAATTTCTAGCTCCGAAATAGTTTTTCTGTCTTACAGAAACTCCATTTTGTACGGCTTAGTACGTTTGAGTCTTGCGATTCGAACAACACTTTTTGAAATATAAACGAATCTGATAATGTGAAAATTATTTTAGAACGTGATATGATCATTTTTGATAATGTCTCAGTCACCATTTCAGTGGGTTAATGAATAGAATACATGTATATTCGTAAAAATAGAAAGTGAATAATCTTTGATGAAGTTTCACAACAACATAAATCCCACAAATGGATAAAAATGTATAGTTTCATTGTTGCACAACTCTTGTGTCGACATCCGAATGTCTGTATGTATTTGTTGAAATAAAACAAGATTGTTTTAGATTCGTATTTGTAGCGGATAATACTAAAAAGACTAAGATCTTTTTAAATGCCGCAGAAAATTTTTATAATAAAAGGCAAAATACGGAAGAACAGTGAACAAGGATTATCATACATATAGACATATCGTTTAGAAAAAAAATAAAATCGGTGTTATTAAATCCTGTATTATTTATATTGTTACAGGATACAAGTGAAACAAAGGAACCGCAACAAACTCTGGTCGATCAAACGCCTACGAAAGAGGCTGCTGAGCCAGACACAAAAGACATTAAACTTCAGAAAGAAGACGAAAACAATTCGAAATCAGACAGCGACAGCAGTGATCACGAAGATGATGACGATGACTACGATGACGACGAGTTCCCACCTATGCATATTAAACTGCCCCTTCAGTTTAATTTCGATGATATTGCGGGCGTAAGTTCATTAAGCCTATTCATTTACATACACACAGTGAATATAAAATTAACTTTTTTATAATTAGGCCAACCGATCTAAATCTTTTCGGAATGTTAAAGGAATTAATTTATTAGACAACGATTAAAAAATCCTTTTCAAAATTCGGAATTGATCGGGATGATAAAAGAATTAAAAAACGATGTTTTTTCATCTTTTTTTATCCGAGTCTATAACGAGAAATTTCATAAATGTATTTTGTAGAAAATAATAAAAAGAAATAGAAAAGAATATTTTTTCAAGGAAAAGGCATCGTTTTAAAAAAGAAACTTCATTTGTGGTCGCATTTCTACGTTCACATTTTATTACAATTTATTTCTTAATCTTAATTTGTTGCAGAATTATTGTAGTTCTTACATTATTTTAGATATTACTGTAGCATTTATGAAATGTAAGATAGTTTATGATGCAGCTGTGCTTGAATGAATACGTTTGTTTTAATATACACAACATTTTTGTTTGTAGAAACAGATATTTGTGTCTTTAAACTTTGTTTTACGATTGATACTGTATTAGATATGTATAATCTTACTTTTATTTATTTACTGTAATACTTCTTATGATTGTTCTTTTTAAGCATAATCTTACTTTTATTCATTTATTATAATATTTGTTATGATCGATCTTTGACAGTTCTGATCTAATGTTTTTCAGACTCTAATTCAAGAAGCACGCAGCAGAGTATCTTGCGTAGTTGAAAGACGAAGAGCCGATCAAGTGATGGACGGTGATAACAACAAGATCGAGAATAGCACTGATTCTCGCTACCAAAGGCTCAGCGGAGAACGCGTTGCTATCCTTTGCGAATCTGGAAATCCCCAACAGGAGTACGTAGATAATATTTAATTCAATTTGAAATTATTGTATCAATAAATTACGAAAGATATTAAGAATTACTCCCCTAATTTCACGTACATATACCGCCATTTATACCACATGATTTAACGGGACGGTATTATGAATAGAGAAAAGCTATTCAAAATAATGTCCTAAACCTAACTCAGACCTAATCCAGGCCTAACCTAAAGCATAGAGATTTAAAAAGCAACTTAAAAATATAGAGAAAATTCTAAGAAATAATTGTAAAAATTGTCAGCATGTTTCAAGGTCGTCGAAATCGATGAGGAATTTACATTAGTAAACAATTATCGAAATTGCTTCTACGGTCAAAAATGAAAAATCACTTAAAATCTTTGGCACTCCACTACAGACGCCAACGGTCCATGATATTTAAAGTGACATTTATTTTCAGACATCAAGATCAAGAGATGCTTACCCCGATTATTATTCCTCTGGGAACCGTTCAAGTACCTCTTCAGTCTCAGGACATGAATCCAGGTTACCATCAATACCAAGTGCACCCTCAGTATCAAGTTCCCGATATGCAACAGCTGCCTTTGAGCGATCCACGTGGATTGAACCACATTCCACCTGGTGTTCTTCCTCCTGAATTGCGACATCTTCCTCAAGTGAACACTGAAATGAGGCCACCACGAATTGGACTGCAGACACCAATGATGGGACCGCAAAATCCCGCGATGGGACCACAAGTTAGTTTATATTGCATTATATAGATGTTTCAACAATTTTGTTTTATAAAAATACTAAGCATCGGTATTTATGCTATCGTTCAAAAGTAGTGAAACGAAAAATAAAACCAGGAGGAACTTATTCCATATAAATATGAAATACATAACGTAAATACATAATATAAATATAAATGAAATAGATAAATTACCAAACGTTTTGAAACAAATTCATATGGCGTTTCAGCTAAATTGGTTGATTTGACCAGTGAATGAACTTAATTGTTAAGTTTAGGACACGAAGGTCGATACATTTTTATTCAGAAAGCATAAATCATTCCATTAATATTTTAATATTTACACCTTTCAAAATTTGAATACAATATTATCATTTATTCAAGTTTAATTAATAGAGTTAACAAAAAAGTTAAGATGACCTTAAAGTCTCCGTAACGCCTCCCATTCAATAAAAGGTACATGTATAAAATGTGTCTATCGAAGCTATTTAAATACCATGCTTCAAAATTTTCATAGACGTATCGTATTTAGTTAGCTAGTCCAGTATAGTTAACAGAAAATAGTCAAACAATTTGAATAATAATGGCGAATACATCATTGATTGTGATGTGATTATTGCTTGTTTTATTGAGAGGCAAAACTGGCGCACTAATGCATATACATTCTACAATAATAATGAGTAAAAAAGGTTTCACGAACACCACGTAAATCGATTGAGCTAAATGTTCGAAAGTTTCTCTAACATTTAACGATTATCCAGATCGAAGTGCGTCGAATCCCCATCGAGCTGCGTCCCTTCCCGGTGAACTCCGTCAGAGGAATGCGCCCGCCAATGCCTCAGGAACCTCAAATGATATTCCAACAAGTCGAACAGACTCCCGGCGGGGCGTATGGTCAAGAACAAGGACCGGTCATGATGCCTCCACCAGTACCGCAGCCGGAGGCTCAAGTTCACGAACAAAGGGTTATCTCGCACATGATGATCCCACAAACAGAGCAGCGACCGCCCCAACCCCAGATGCAACCCCAGATGCAACCTCAGATGCAACCACAGATGCAACCGCAGATGCAACCACAGATGCCACCTCAAATGCCACCTCAGCTGCAACCTCAGCCACAGCCTCAGCCACAGCCTCAGCAGGAGCCGCAGCCTCAGATTCCCGAGAGACCACGTTCTCCCTTCCAAGGAATTCCATTCGAAATTCGTAGGATTATTCAGCAGGTGCCTTTGGAGATCAAAAATATCATCCAGCATATCACTGGCGAAGCAAGACCGGTTCCTGTGCAGGTACCCGAAGGTGCTCGTCGCGAGGTAATTCAATTGATGAAATCCGTACGCTTAACTCAGTCAGTTTCGTTAGCCAAGGATAGAGAATGAATGTAGTGAAAAGAAAGGAGGCAGACATACATCGATAAAACGCCGCGACTGCAAAATAAACGTGCAAGAAGGAAAATTTTATTATCTGTAATTTCCGTCTTACTTTTATATATACGATTGTAGCACCAGTGGATAATTGGGATTCTTCTGATTAAAATGAGTCCATATACGATGTTAATCTGGCTACGTTTGTCAAAAAGCTTATTATTATAGATCGCGTATTAATTAATCTTAAAATAGCTTAAATTAATCCGAGTTACATCGTGTCTGAACTTATTTAACCCTTTTAGTGCCATGCGAAAAAGAGGTGCCTATGCGAGAATAACCGGCCGAATTTCACGGTTTTACTAGGGTTTGGGAAAATGCTTGTAAAAACCAAACAAGAAACAATATTTACATGACTTAAAAAGCAGTAAATTAAGGACGAAATAGAGAACAAAACAATGACGCTAGATTTTCTATATTCATTGAAAATTATATAAACAACAAAGGTATGAAAGATCATAAAGAAAGTAAAAGTCCAGTTCTTTCTTACAAAACGTATTTGCACATACAAAAGGTCATCTTTTCATCATAATTTTATATAGATCATTTATTACAAAGTATATACTTTGCATTTCTGATATATTTTGTAACAAGATAAATAATATTACATAACAAACATAAAAAGTAACTCGAAGGTACATATATTTGTGATATAATTTTGCATAATACTTCATTATAATAACATAAATATGTATATTTATATTTATATATTGTAAATGTGTAAAATTTTGTTATTATAAAGCGCTATAAGGCGCAGGCCGATATATCCGCGGCTCTGGCACTTCTCGCCAGTGCAGCAAGAGCCGATATATCGGCCTCCGGCACTAAAAGGGTTAAATTAGAAGAAATTTAGCTATCCATTGATGCTGCAATTATGAAGGTAAGACGATAGTCACTAAAAATAAAAATTTTGTTTATTTAAATATTTATTTTTTATTGGTCGCGGTCAAAGATCATGTTTACAAACACCATTGTTTGTATTGCCAGATACATTATGATTTTATTCTTTTTTGTCGTTTTTTGGTTATTATTCATTAGTATCATGTATTAACTACGTAAACATGTTGAACGGTTCAATTTAATGTGTCGTTTAGAACGTTCAAGAGTTTAAACCGTTCCCGGAAGGAGCACAGCCCATCCCTGTGGGACTTCCACTTCCGATAGAGGTCAGAAACCTATTGGAACATGGAAACATCGAGGGTCGTCAGAGACCGGACGGATCACACGAACAACAGGAAGCTAAACCTTTCCCTGGACCGGAAGACGATAGCGAGGAGGAGAGGAACTTCCCTGTACCAGCGGAAATTCGTAATATTATTCACCAGGTATGATGATTAATGCGTTACATTTTTTAATGTTTCATCGAGAAAATTGATCGTTTAACATTCGAATAAAGGGCCTTTATTTATTTATTATTTTATTTATCAATTTTCTCAACATATTTTTTAAGACACTTAATTTTTCTATACATCTTAATGAAACATGTGGAAATTTCAATTAATTGTTGGAAACTAGGTGATATAAAATAATAATATTTATAATCTAGGTCGGTTGTTCGATTGTTAAATTGCATCGAAAGTATTATTATTATTATTAGTATTATTCTGCGAATTTGATATAATATCAATAGTTCTCATTCGTTTGCACAAAAAAAGAAAAATCAAAATACAGTAGAACGTCGACTATAATATAATTGAATTTTCTTTTTAACCTAACTTAATTTTTCGCAATAATGTAGTATAGGTATCGTGGTCTGTTATTTCTCCTTTGTAATCAAGCACGTTATACAGTAAATTCTCTTCAGTTGTCCCTCAGCTTGTAAACAGAAATGAACAATTTGGAAAGTGGCAATACGATTATTCGAGCCTCGCGGCTCATTTTTGTAGTCGCCGATTGTTTACAAGCTGAGGGACAAGTGGAAAGAATTTGCTGCACATCGCAATTTTCAACTTTCACTTAACATATCAGAGAGTAAACTCAATTTTGTCTTTCAAATCAAGAATTCGTTATTAATTTGGTGGTTTTGAATTAAATAAATTTATTATATCCATGTAAAGAAAATTAGATCATAGAACTTATAAAAGTTACAAAACAATAGGGATTTGAAATTTGACAACGAGAGACCAGCAGGTAGCGTGGCCGAGCGGTCTAAGGCGCTGGTTTAAGGCACCAGTCTCTTCGGAGGCGTGGGTTCGAATCCCACCGCTGCCATAATTTTTGTTTTTACTGGTGATAACGTTATCGGATGTAGCGAAGTTTGATGCAATACGGTTTACAGTAAATTCTTTCCAATTGCCCCTCAGCTTGTGTAAACAGAAATGGTCATTTTCGCGGCTCGTTTTTATAGTCGCCGATTGTCAACAATTTTTTGTTTACAAATCGGTAAGAATTTACTGTAAATGGTACAATACAGATAGACAGAAAATCAATACAGAGGACGATGACGTTCCCCCATACGAAAGCTTTAACACCTTTGCACCTAGTTTGAACCCTATTTCAAGCGATATAATTTTCCCAAAATTTAGTCAAATCGCTTGAATTCGTTTAAGATGTCAGAGAGATTAGTTTACTAGATAATGTTTAAATAAATTTGTCCATAGTAAGCTTCAGTGATTTCTATACATGTCGAAAATTCCATCGATGTCGGTTAAACGATACGAGCTGCAAAGAATTAAAGATTGCGTAGATCACAGTTATTTAGGAAACTAATTTGCTCTTTCTAGGAAAGAGAATAAATAACAGTTGTAAGTGTATAATATTTTGTATTTCCAGGTTGTCGAAGGAAATGCTTTCCCCGTGCCAAGATTCATGCTTCCGTTGAGACCTGTAGATTCGTTGGATATACCCGTTGAAGCTCGTGCCGAAGTAACTGANCTTCGGAGGCGTGGGTTCGAATCCCACCGCTGCCATAATTTTTGTTTTTACTGGTGATAACGTTATCGGATGTAGCGAAGTTTGATGCAATACGGTTTACAGTAAATTCTTTCCAATTGCCCCTCAGCTTGTGTAAACAGAAATGGTCATTTTCGCGGCTCGTTTTTATAGTCGCCGATTGTCAACAATTTTTTGTTTACAAATCGGTAAGAATTTACTGTAAATGGTACAATACAGATAGACAGAAAATCAATACAGAGGACGATGACGTTCCCCCATACGAAAGCTTTAACACCTTTGCACCTAGTTTGAACCCTATTTCAAGCGATATAATTTTCCCAAAATTTAGTCAAATCGCTTGAATTCGTTTAAGATGTCAGAGAGATTAGTTTACTAGATAATGTTTAAATAAATTTGTCCATAGTAAGCTTCAGTGATTTCTATACATGTCGAAAATTCCATCGATGTCGGTTAAACGATACGAGCTGCAAAGAATTAAAGATTGCGTAGATCACAGTTATTTAGGAAACTAATTTGCTCTTTCTAGGAAAGAGAATAAATAACAGTTGTAAGTGTATAATATTTTGTATTTCCAGGTTGTCGAAGGAAATGCTTTCCCCGTGCCAAGATTCATGCTTCCGTTGAGACCTGTAGATTCGTTGGATATACCCGTTGAAGCTCGTGCCGAAGTAACTGATGGCCAAAGCTCTGAGCAAGAACCGGAGCAAGCACAGCAACAGGAGCAACAGCAGCAAAATCACAAGATGTTGCAAGAACAATACCAGGAAATGCAGCAGCATAACCAAAAGCAACCAGAGTCGGCAGAGCAAAGTCGTCCGCACTGTGAGCATATTTTTATTCGAATGCTAAATCCATCAATCCTAAAAATTTGTTTATTTACTTATGAAAACATAGAAAATTTTAAATAGGGAGAAAAATAGCTTGGTGGTGACATTCGAAAAATATAATATAAATTGTATCCTCGATTACCTGAATCTTTGTTATGTCTTTCATATATTATTATTTCAATCTAAGGCAATCCGCATACAACATTATTTATTGCACAAATCAATAAAGACTTAATCTCGCATTGTATTTAAATAACTGGTCTATTATCGGAACGCTCATGTCTTTTGATTAGTTTGGATAACAAGGGTTCTACTAAATTTCACAAAATTTGGAAGTATTAAAAAATTGTAGTGTTTTTTCAAAATTTCACTGTTTCCGTTAGACACGTATCTAAGATTAATTCTGTGAAATAATTAAAAAAGACATAATTAACAGAATTCTGTGGTTTATAGACTTTTTGAGTTAATTAAGTTAACGGATATATTTCATATATCTGTTTCTACGGATACTCATCAAATTAATGAATAAAGGAGAACACGTATTCAATATCATCGGACATAATTTAATCTGACACGTTGTTATAGACTATAGCGCAAGTGGTTAACAGATTTAATTCAATTATACAACTTCGAGCACTGTAGTGAGCATTTTTTTTTTATTACAGATGTACAGCCACGTTCGGTGCGATCTATTCCAGAAGCGTTCAGCCACCGCCGCGAGAAACGCGTTCGTCGTTGCGCATGTGACTGCGCTTGCTAATTCCACCTTTAATCGGATGTCCCGTTGTGCCTGGCCGAACAAAACGTTCTAAAAGGAGAAAACATCCACCCGGGAGCACAAGTGACGAGTTTATGCGATTGAAACAGGATAGGATACATTGCACTCCTTCATTTGAATTTCGCATTTTTATAAGCTTCGATCGCAAACACACGACTGGACATCGAACAAGAGAAATCGAAACGCATCAAATGCGTTGTGTTTCGGTTAAGTTGATTGTGCTACTTTGCTAGAGACAAGAAACGATGAAGCAATTAAAGGAATCGGAGTTGCTTTGGCGACATTAATATTTTCGCTACGGGGCTGCTTTTCGCAAATTTATATACCACGGTGTGAATTTGTTGATCTTTTTTATACTGTAAAGATGTAGCACCTGTTACCTTTTTATACTATAAAAGCTATTGGAACTTTTTTGAAATCGATCGAAATTAATATGTAACGAATTGTGTAGATAAATTCAGGTCGGAGTGATCAGATTTTAGTAGTAGACTCAACCAGAGTTGTCAATTATTGCAAAATTTTGCCCGTGGTCACCTTTAATATACAGCAGACGTTGGTAATTGATCGATTGTAGTCACCTTTAGTAACGAAAGGGTTGCAAAATATCTAGATTTCATAACGAACGTTAAAATGCCCAATTAGTAGAAAGAAGATGTACTCGTACCACTGATATTTTTTGAGCTAACATACCTGTATCGTAGTTGGCGTATTAATTTCGTTATCATCAGACTGCGGATCTTCGCGCACATACTTATATCTCACAAAAATGTGTAAGGAAATTACAAAAGTACAAAATTCTATGAGAACGAACTCAGAAATGATATTTTACTTGATTTCCGGATCGTTTGATCTGTCTAAGAAATTCTACGTTTGCATAACACCGTCCACAGTTCAGTTATATTATTTTCTTCAGCGCGTGATAACGGCTACAAGTAGAAAGCAAAGGGAAGGTAGAAATAAGTCTGTGATTGTTCCATTCGCTTACAGTAAAATCAAGAAAATTTTGGTCGCAATTAGATACGAGCGCGTTTGGAACATGAGCAATTTGAAAGAATAGCGCGTAATAAATCGAGTGCTTAAATGTTTTACTGTGTATTAACATTTTCCATCGGATACTTTATTGCGAATTAATATTCTGCATCAGTTGTCTTGTAAAGAATTTATTATATTTAAGCAGAAATAAAGTTTAATAATTCGACTGTGAAGTAAGATAATTCGTTTAGCTTCGAATGACACTTCTAAACCCGAATTTTGATCAACTCCTCGCATCTACACAAAATTGTTTAAGGTGTAGACATTTTATTATTCTGTATTTTTGTATTGTATACGTACACATATATTTTTTCATGACAATTAATAAAGCGACAAGATTATTGGTTAGATTAGATTCTACATAAACATTTTCTTTTTATTTTCCATTCAGCCCTTCAACTCGTAATGATTGTATCACTAAAGAAACGGTAGCAATAATTCATGTTAATGTAAATATGATATTTTTAATTTGCATTAAACAATAACTGCTATTAATACTATCTAAATATTATTTTTCTCTAACGTTTTTTTAGAGATTAATAGAACATAAAGGTGACGGAAAAATATTTAAAATTTGTTGAAGTAGAAAATTAAGCGATAAGTACAGTTAATATTAAAGTATTAATAAATAAATAAAAAATAAATAATACAAAACTTTCTTAAGGGTAGACATTCGAATGAGGTGAACATTTGTGAAACTGAATATTACTATTTCTGTAATCAGAGTACTAACCCGACTGAACAGTACCGGACAAAAATTTGGGAGTCATTAAACTTAAATGATTACAAAATACTACAATGATTTACGAAAAGCTAAGAACTAAAATCTTTCTTAAAAAATATTAGCATTCAATGAGGAAAAGATGTAATCGAAAATTGCAAGTGATTCCAAACTTTTGCTCGGTAATGTATACATACCTACGTATACGTTATTTTCTGCAAGTTTAGGCGACTATAATTCAATTGAACTGCAGCTTTATTCAAATGAAATTCTTGGGCTACAAATCATATAACTGTATTATGCTGCTTGAAACAACTCATGTAATAAGTAATTGTAACTTTTTCAAATTTATAACTCAAAACTACTTTTATATTGTTAACACGGGTAAATGAGTCAAGATACACAATTGCTTCTCTTCTTTTAATTAATGCGTATACATTAAAATTAAGAAGTACTAAATAATGTAAACATCGATTTTTATGGACTATTTCACTACTAGTATTATACATAGCTTTTCTGGGTTTAAAAGAAAATAAAAATTGTATTGAATACTATTATGTTGTACCAAATTTTTCAGCAATTTTAGCATTAGACTGCGCATTTCATGCATTTATAGAATGTACCAGTATGTAAAACTTTATGAAATAAAACGATGTAAATAAAAATTGGTTAATTTCTAATTTAAAAAACCTCTTAAGTATTTAAAACAAATTTCATGTTGCATTTTTATAAAATATGCATACAGTCAACAATTTGATAAAGAGATTTTACAATATTAAGACTTCGTTATCCTTACATCATGAAAATAGTACAAACATTTCTTATATAAGACGTATTTATAGACTTTTTTGAATGTATTAACATAGGATATTTTTTTATAATATTATGAACATTAAAACATCTCTAAACAACATTTGGAATGAGCAAGATTATATATATATGATCATACATATGATATTGCCTTTTGTACGGTTTCACTATGATACAGTTAAATTTTACCTTAGACCCAATTTTCCAAAACAATTTTAAAAATGTTTCACTAATTTCCAATACCCTTTAACTGTTTTTATAATGTTCATAATATCCCAATTTCTATGCGTGTCCCAATTCCTGTGCCAGTCCCAATTTCTATGCGTGTCCCAATTCCTGTGGCAGTCCCAATTTCTGTGCGTATCCCAATTCCTGTGCCAGTCCCAGTTTCTGAGCCTGTTCCAATTTCTGCGCGTGTCCTAAAACCTGTGCCTGTTCCAATTTCTGTGCTTGTCCCAATTCCTGCGATTGTCTCTATTTCCGTACGACTGTCGAATTCCTGCGAGTGTCCCAATTTTTGTGCCTGTCCCTATTTCTGCACCTGTCCCAATTCCTGCAATTGTCCCCATTTCTGCGATTGTCCCTATTCCCGTGAGTGTCCCTATTTCTGTGTCCAATTCCTGTACATTTACTTAGTAATCAGAACCTTCTCAGAACCATACATTATGTAGAAGTTCAATTCAATTAATAAAATTGAAAGTAAATGTTTAAATGAAATTCAAAGTAATTTTTCACCTTGTTAAGTTTCTGTAAAAGATCAGCAGTTAATTAATAATTAATAGTTAACATTTTCAATCTAGGATTATGGTGTGTTTCTCAACCAGAGATGTTTATGCATTGTTTCGTGTAGCTTCTACTATTCAACATAAAGAATTCTTAAAGTTGTAATTTTCTTATCACACCATATTTATATATATGTATACTAAGGATGTCAGAGATAAATAGTTTTTACATGTGTTTAGTGCATCAAAGTCTAGAACATTGTCCATCAAGTTTTAAAACCTGATAAGAACAAATAGAAAAATTGGATGATATTGTAATCAGATTTGCCACTCAAAATCTACGGACATATACTAGTATAACATATAACATTTACATCTTATATAACACTTATGTAATACACTGATGGTTTATCTAAATAAAGGCATATAACAAAATATTCAACTATATCAATTTTAATGTAGCTAGTGTTTGTTAGAACATTAATTTAATATATAAATGTTATCCAGTTTCAAATTGGTTACATATTTATATTACGCGATGCCCGAACTTCGATCACGTGACTAAAATGCCGACAGCTCATGCGCAGTCTCAGTTGTGCTTCACGTTGTACAAGGGCAGTTATATTATTACATGTGTGATGTCATTTTCATTCTGTGCATTATTATGCTGTTGTGATTTACTTTGAGAACAGTGTCGACAGTTTCTACAGCTAATATCTATTGTTCTACGCCACCCTAATCACGGATACATTGTTTTCTTGAAGGTGAGCTTCACGTTCGGTGAATACCTCGCGCTGACAATCGTGACGTAGCACATTTTAGATTTCACAATTCAATGAAAAACTAAATGTTGATAGATGAATGAATTTTAAACGATAACACAGCAAAGGACGAAGAGTTTTGATATCGTCAATCTAATTGGAGTCATCAATACGAAATGATGAATTTTGATGGAGAAAAAGGATCCACGAGATTCTTGTCCTCACGAAATATTTGTTGCTGTCAAGCAACAGCTAGATATAACAGTTCAAAGTAAATCAAATCAGTAACTCCTTAATTCGTGTTTAAGCGATCCTTTTACATAATCTTTAATCTTTCACTTTTCATTTAATTGCAAGCAAATTGTCTTAAATGCAAATGCTGATTAACTATGTCAATGTTTTAGAGCGCTTAGATATTTCGCAGGTCTTCTGATTTTGATTGTCCTGCCAGCTGAGCTTAACGAGAAGTATGGATGAATTACAAAATGTCAATGATAGTGATATGAGTCAGTGTACATATGATAATCACAATAGTAATAACAACAACAGATTGTTGGAGTATCTTGGTTTGGATAATCGTACCAATGATCCACTCAGTAAGTAGTAAAAACACATAAGTTGAATATTTATGATGTGACAATTTGCATTGTAAATATTAGCATAATAATAAGAGCAATAATACATATACATGTGTACATATAAATTTGTAGGTGAACCAGAAGTAACTATGAACTTGAATGAAGGTTCTACACAGCTACCGCTTCATCCACTAGAAGAGTTGGAAGAAGATATGTTTGATTATGATACTGATATTTCATTACAAGATGTAAATACAGAATCTAAGGTACATAATGTATTGCGGAAAAGGTAACATTCTTTTAGCCCGACTATAGAATGTCTAAAGAATACATTAAAAAGTTATCTATTACTATTTATATTTTCAAATTTAGTTCTAAATAATTATTACTCAATTTAGTAATGACTCCCGAAAAAGTTTCTAGATTTTAGGAAATACCTAAAAATTGAATAATTGTCTTTTAGGCTAGCAAAAGTATTATATCTGTGAAAGATTTGTAATAGCAATTTTGTTTCTGGTTTTAGAGTTTGTTTTTCTAGAATTAATTATATATATAACTGATATTTGCTCAATGATACATTGCTTTTATGATACATTTCTGCTACATAAGGTGTTACTGTCCAATTCTAGGAGCAAGTTGTACCATGTAGTCAGCTGAGTACCAGCTATAAATACCCTGAGGAGCTTACTATATCAGACGATGAGGTAGATGAAGGCATATTCGAAGATGAACCAGTGTCTAATTTGGTGTTATTGAGCGATAACAATACACATGACTCTGAACCTCCATGAATCACTACACAGTGCAATCGATATGTTTTTGTACAGCACTGCCACGTGCTCATGTGCTAATTTGCTATGCAATATCCTGTACTATTCAAATTTTCTATTGATCAGGTTCACTGAATACACTGAGTTTGTTAAAAATTTAAATAAATTGATTTACTATCTAAATAATATCAACCACAAGCTCTCTTTAGAGACAAATACTTGGTAAAAGATATGTAATACTGTTGCAGAATGTATCATTGTTATAATGTTATACGATATATAAATGTATTGTATATCTACAAAGCAATAATATAAGAATAAATATAGTAAAAAATATAAAATATTTTACTACATGTTGTATTCAGTCTTATTAAATGTGGGACATTATAATAAATTGTGTATGCAGAAAACAAATAAGCAAATAAATGAATCAATTAGTGAATTTGTTCTCTTGTATATTTAATAGTGTGCATTTTTATTGATATTAATATGCATTTTTGACCCACATGCTGATAAAAAGCTCTATTTATCTTGTTAATTTTTGGAAAGAAATTAGAGTTTGGTTACTTTTATTATACCTCAACTATAAATTTTATGTTTTCATAATTTTTGCACAACTTATTTATTTTTTATACTTGTACATTTTTCTTAAATACATATGATAAATTATTTTCATTGTTTTTTAATAGACTATATTTATATAAGTAATTGGTTAAATTATTTTAAACTAAGAAAATCAAATATTTTGTTATTTCCAAATATTTAAAAAGATCAAAGGGCTATCGAGAAAATAAAAAAATTGAGATAAGTAATTAGTGGATTAGAATTGTAGTGATGTAAGTCACATTTTGCATAATATCTTAAAATGTAATCCGCACATGTAAAAAAGTTAAAAAGACAAATTAACTTAATCCTAAATCATCTTAACAATAAATTTGGTCATTAAACAATACACGTATTAGTAAAGAACATTCTTTATTTCTCACTTACGCCACTAACGTGACTAATCCACCAATTATTAAAATCTACCACATCTCTTGAAATAAATTTATAATATTCACATAATATTATTATTTAATAGATTTAAATTGTTTAAAAAATGTAATTAGCAATATTTTTTCCACAACAGTTCAAAAGGATTCACAGAATATATTAATCGAACAAATAATTATTAATATGAAAAGATATTTATGATTGAAATATCTAGAATGAAAGAATTATTTTCAAATAATTTGGACAACTGTTTTTTATTCTATTATATTATTTACTATATTACTATTAATTATACCTGTCTCTTATACACATCTAATTATTAAAATCTACCACATCTCTTGAAATAAATTTATAATATTCACATAATATTATTATTTAATAGATTTAAATTGTTTAAAAAATGTAATTAGCAATATTTTTTCCACAACAGTTCAAAAGGATTCACAGAATATATTAATCGAACAAATAATTATTAATATGAAAAGATATTTATGATTGAAATATCTAGAATGAAAGAATTATTTTCAAATAATTTGGACAACTGTTTTTTATTCTATTATATTATTTACTATATTACTATTAATTATACCTGTCTCTTATACACATCTAATTATTAAAATCTACCACATCTCTTGAAATAAATTTATAATATTCACATAATATTATTATTTAATAGATTTAAATTGTTTAAAAAATGTAATTAGCAATATTTTTTCCACAACAGTTCAAAAGGATTCACAGAATATATTAATCGAACAAATAATTATTAATATGAAAAGATATTTATGATTGAAATATCTAGAATGAAAGAATTATTTTCAAATAATTTGGACAACTGTTTTTTATTCTATTATATTATTTACTATATTACTATTAATTATACCTGTCTCTTATACACATCTAATTATTAAAATCTACCACATCTCTTGAAATAAATTTATAATATTCACATAATATTATTATTTAATAGATTTAAATTGTTTAAAAAATGTAATTAGCAATATTTTTTCCACAACAGTTCAAAAGGATTCACAGAATATATTAATCGAACAAATAATTATTAATATGAAAAGATATTTATGATTGAAATATCTAGAATGAAAGAATTATTTTCAAATAATTTGGACAACTGTTTTTTATTCTATTATATTATTTACTATATTACTATTAATTATACCTGTCTCTTATACACATCTAATTATTAAAATCTACCACATCTCTTGAAATAAATTTATAATATTCACATAATATTATTATTTAATAGATTTAAATTGTTTAAAAAATGTAATTAGCAATATTTTTTCCACAACAGTTCAAAAGGATTCACAGAATATATTAATCGAACAAATAATTATTAATATGAAAAGATATTTATGATTGAAATATCTAGAATGAAAGAATTATTTTCAAATAATTTGGACAACTGTTTTTTATTCTATTATATTATTTACTATATTACTATTAATTATACCTGTCTCTTATACACATCTAATTATTAAAATCTACCACATCTCTTGAAATAAATTTATAATATTCACATAATATTATTATTTAATAGATTTAAATTGTTTAAAAAATGTAATTAGCAATATTTTTTCCACAACAGTTCAAAAGGATTCACAGAATATATTAATCGAACAAATAATTATTAATATGAAAAGATATTTATGATTGAAATATCTAGAATGAAAGAATTATTTTCAAATAATTTGGACAACTGTTTTTTATTCTATTATATTATTTACTATATTACTATTAATTATACTATTAATTATTTTTATTCTATTTTTTACCTTTTCTCTATTCAAGACTTTAACCTTTACTATGAATAGAGTTTTTTTTTCTAATCAAATATTATTAATTACTGTATTAAGGCTTTTTTTGTAATAGTTCCATGCTACATTAATTGAAAAACTAATTTGATAGAATTGATTATAGATAATAATGTGCACTGTAAATAGAAATGCATAAAATCATTTTTAAATAACTAATCCGCCGACGGTACATATTCGGTGTTGCATTTCTTTGAAAGTCGATCCATATCAATAGTATAACTCTTTTTTATGTCATCCAACACGCGAACGAGCATCCAGATTGTTATGTGGTAGAATTACTTTTGGAATCGTGTTCAAAAGTGAAATCGAATCATATCGAGTCGTATTTCAGACATTTGCCTGGGAATCGAACTTGGGGATCACCAGCTTTCGTCATTGTCAACAATATAACTTGCGTGGTTTACAAAAATATATGCTAGCGATTTGAAGTTTTCAAATGCAAATGCATACTCTATCATAATTCTAAAAAGCACAATTTAATTTTGAATAACTTACTTCTTCTTTAATACGATTTTTCATCTATGTTGTTTATAGCATTTAATAAGCATTTGATATAGATTATAAATATATTATTGTAACAATATATGTGTTTTCTGCAAGGTTGTAGACGTATTTGTGTTTCGATGAACAGTTGTCTAATTTTAAAGTTGTGTCAGAAAATATTCGTTACACAATAAAAGATACATGTATGTACATTATACATTGAAAAGAAATTGAATTTACTAACTTACGATCAACTAAAATCACCTGTTATTGTGTTTATTAGAAAAAAATGTGTTCCCGTCCTATAACAGTCACAATTATAAAATATATTCAGCTGTAAAGAGTATTATTGTACAATTATTTGAAGAAATGATTTTTTTTTAAATTTTATATGCAGCTATTTTGTAGTGATGAATCAACTTGGCAGATAAATTTCCATAATAACGAAACTTTATTATTTTAGAAAAATACTGCAAAGTTAAGTGTAGAATTGCAAATATGATGGTTTTTATATCTTATGTCTTACAGTAACATATACAGGTAGAATAAATACGTGGCAACTCTACCAGTTATTGTAATACACGGAAACAATCGCACAGTTCTTTTTTCTTTTGCTAATTAAGTTTATGATGTAGGAAGAAATGCATTACAGATTATTTACAACTAACCATACGCGCGTTAAATGTGCCAAGCAAAATTTCACAGGCTCCTGTAAGGTTGAACGTACCTTCTTCCATTAATTAACTTACGTGTTACGACGTGATATAATTCTGTTCCGTATGATTAATCGTATCGATCTCTTTATTGTCTCCGATTAATTACCGTAAAAAAAAGGCATTTTTTCGTCGCGTAACTTGACACCGTGGTACACGATCAGGGAATGCGGAAGTGGTTGCGAAAATTCATGTTCGTGACATGCTAGAACATGAAAAGCTGGCTTTGCAGTTCTTATCTGATTTACGCAAAAGTTGACCAATGCCAATACCATGCATATTTTAATATATAATCGTCGTTTGAAATTTAGAAGATTACTGTTTTTTGTATTAAAATAGTCTCGATGACACTAACTTTAATCTTTCTTTTTGAAAAATCGTTTCTATTTATTATTATATATATAGGGGGGGGGGGAGGAGAGACTCTCATAAATACTTCGTATATTAATGTAGATGTTTAAACATATTTCAATAATTGAAACCTGCGGACCGTCGTGGATGCACCAGTTCCTTCTGATATTTACAGTATAGTTACATCATAAATTCGTAGAATATTAGAGGCTGTAAAAAATAAAATATCAAACACAATCCTATTATAATATTCAATATTAATATTTATGTTAATATTAAATACTTCCTGTCTCGTCTAGAACAATCTTCCAATGAATCTGAATTATTTACAATTTTACAGCGACCAATTTTGGGTGTATTAGCGATTCCAAGGCGCGACAGAGAGGAATAGAGAGACAGTTTTAATCGCGTCGGTGACTCTTGCAAATTTAAACGCGTACGGTATTTCATAATTGTGCCGCTCGGAATAAATGTAGGAAGCGTGTTTCTTCATCAGCCTCGGTGTTCATCATGCATTACGATCTCGGGAATCGTACGACACAATGTCTGGTGTAATTCAAACCAGAGTCCAGTTTTGCTGGTACAGAAATACCAGGCGACAGTTTTGCAAGCAGTTTCGTGTTTCATATTAAAGGACGACAACTTTTCATTTACATTAGGTCTCTTGTAGGAATCATGGATCACTCCGTGCTTCATTGTTGCTACATGATTCATTGCTGTACGTTCTGTAATACATATGTAATTTTGTGATTATGCATGCAAATTTAATGAATGCAGAGGAATGTGGATATTATGTGTTTATAACAAAAGTGGTCAGATAAAACAGTGGGCACGAAACATATTTCAAGAATTTAAAGACACACTGTCATATTATTGTTAAATTATTAAAATCATTTCGAGCGAATACTCGACTTATTATTTAAAGATCGATGGCCTAATTAAAATTATTCAATTTTCATTATAATGAATTTTTAAACGCTTTACAGGTTGCTCGTGTTTTATGTTATGAGTAGACCGCGGATTGTATGCATTTATGGCAAATACGGATAGGTGAAACATAAATTAGT